TTCTTATAAATTACATAACTGTCATTGATCAACTTAAAAAAGAAGACCAACACAAAAAAACTTAAATAACACCCAAAATAAGCCCAGCTTAATTTTATAAAAAAAACCCAAAAACCATTTATCATCTAAAAATTGAGTGTTGAAGTTTCTATAAATTACATCTCTACCATTAATTAACTTAAAACAAGCACAATAAAAAAACCTCAAAAAAAAAAAAAAAAAACCAAAATAAGCCCAATAAGCCCGAAGTACATTGTTAATATAATGTCATAGAAGTGTTAATATCATGTCATAGAAGTGTATTGTTAATACTATGTCATAGAAGTATATTATTAATATCATGTCATAGAAATACATTGTTAATATCATGTCATAAAAGTACAATATTAATATCATTTCATAGAAAAACATTGTTAATGTCATTTCATACAAAAAACACAAAAACAAAAAAACAAAAAAAAAAGTCCAGCAAGACATCTGATATCCTTTGCAAAAACCACCTCCAATTAAACATAGTTTCACAAGAAGCAATCGCAAAAGCCCTCTACAAGAAGAAAAAAAAAATACACTGTTAATACTATGTCATAGAACTATCTTCCTAGTGAAAATCACATTATGAATATCATAAACTTCAAGTGCACAGCTATATGAGCAAAATATAGAGCATGTTTTGTTACTGAAAATCTATTAATACTATGTCATAGAAGTACATTGTTAATACTACATCATAGAAATCAACTCAACTGCAGGGTATGAACAGTATAACAACTGTTCATACCACTTACTGGAAGCTAACAACTACATTTCATTTGCATAATAGGTACGATAAAAATATACAACTGCAAAACCCCATGTTCATAAACCAACAACCTTGAAAAACATAATGGAAAACACAACCCTTTGGAACAAACCTAGAAACCCAGAGCAAAAACCCCATCTTCGTAAACCAGCAACCTTGTAATACAACTGAAATTGAAAAACAAGTGTTGCAGGTGAACTGGTTTGGCAACAAGTTGCTACCAAAACTGCCATGACAGAAACAAATACTATGAGTTGCAGCAGCCAAAGCCTTGATTTTCTTTTCATTTTTTGCCACCGGTAAAAAATATTAAATGTCTTCTTCCTTGCTAACTAATGGCAACAAACCTTATATTGAGCAACCCTTTTGCAGTTTCCATGGATATGGTAATTAATTAAGATAAGTAAATTTGATGTGACACAAAAGCAAATGAAGATTACACCACGTGAGGTGTAGCCCCACTAAGTTATGGCGTTCAATAATTGGAAGGAAAAAAATGTACCTACTGTTATTTGGTTGAAGCTTCGGTTTACAGCAACTTGAACCATTTTTCTCCAAACATCAAACGAGAAACACTAGAAGACATACTCCAAGCATGGTAGCCATATTGGGGTGGATCATCCTGGAACCTTTTGCCATTCCCCTAATTCTTATATATGTCCCTCCAACCTGAAAAATTCACCAGTTTTTTTTAAGGACCAGCCTGGTTTCTATTTTACTGCCTACAGGTTTCAAAAATAAAAACATGATATTGCCAAAGTTTTGTACAGCTAATCAGCAATTAACATAATCCAAAAAGTAGCAGATATTGCATTCACTACAGATATAAATACATGAAACTAGATCTTGCACACCTGAAACTGAATTGCCACACTCTTGCTAACAGGGTCGGTTGTTGTGATTGCCACTGCTGTATCATCTGCCCTGCGGGCCAAGGCAAAATGACTTCTCAGGGAGATGATTTAAAAATTTTAAGCCCAAGGTTTCACAGAAAAAGAAAAACACGAATTGAAATTCGATGCTGAAAATAAATTAAGTTCAAAACCATTAACATTTACCCCTCATGTTGATGCTGATAGTGAATTAACCAGTTTTAGAAGAGATTTTAGAAGTGCTTCCTACATATGAAAATTAAAAAATGAATCGTTTGTACAACACTTAGATAAAAATCATCATGCAACATTTATCAGCTGATCTGTTAATATTTCAAGAAACCATGTGCAAATCAGTATGATTAGAATTTGAGCATAACATGGAAACAGGAATATGATGGTTATATATAGTACCTTTTTTATCCTTTGGCCAATCACACCAGTGGATTCAATCAGCACTTCCGTAGGCTTCATTTGAAGTAGCTGCAGTACAAAGTAGCCCAAACTTGATCGTCGGCCCTGGCTGGTTCTTTTCCGACCGCTCTCACTACTGGCTGTGGCTGAAGCACCAAGATCGCTGGCTTGGTTTCCACGCTGGCGTGGTTTCCACGAAGGGAGAGAGACTAGAGAGAGAGAGAGAGAGAGCCCAGAATTTAAAAAAATAAAAATAAAAAACTAATTTAATACTAAATGGGTAATAAAGGTATTTCATTTAACTAATTAAATTTAAAAAATGTAATAGCTGTCAGTTTTGGGTTTATTTTTTGTGTGTTTCTATGTTTTAAATAGTGTAGGGTATATTTATAGTTTCATGTCTAGGAATGAGTGTTTCACTAATTTTGTATTATAATTATGGAGGATTTATGCGTTTATTATTTCACATCAAAGAATTAAAATGTAAGTGAGGTCCACATAAAATCAGGAATTCAATTCCTAATTTTTTAGGAATTCAATTTTTGGGTGGGAGGTAGTATTATTATTATTTTGGTGAACTGGGGGTGAAAACCCCAAACAAGCAAAACAAACTAACCAAACACAAATCAAGTGGGGCCTAGACACCCCTAACAAATCATCCACTAAAAAAGTCCTAATCCAACTTGGAGCCTCATAAAAAACGCAGATACCAAGAT